ATAGCTGTATAACTCAGCGTTAAGTTGGTCATCACAGTATTATGGCTGATGAGTCAGTATAATCATTGATGTTTTTTGATAATTTGTCATGATGTGTAACCATGACAACAAGGTGGTTTTTACAACCGGGAGCTGCTGATTACCATCTCAAAACTCAAATAATATCTCAACTATTCTCGCCCAGCGCACACACTTTTTGCCCCGCTCCCCTCGGGAAGGGGGTTGGGGAGCATTGGGTGTGGAGCCACTAGACTGAGGAACAGCTTCTACCCTGAGGCTGTTAGACTCGTGAATCTCTAACTAGAGTGGTCACTGTGAAGGACCATATCATGTTGCTGCTGATCTGTTTCATGTTGCTGCTGATCTGTTTCAATGTTGGTGTGTTCATGCGTGCACATCTGCTCACGGACTCATTCGTGCACATCTGCTCACGGACTCATGTTCATGTTTGTGCTGATGTTCAATGTTTTTATGTTATGAGTGCTTAGTGTATATTTAGTTGATGTTTTTCTTAGTTCATATCTTAGATGTTATTACTGTTTTTCTTATACATTTTATTGTTGGATGTAACTGGGACCCCGTGTACATAATTTCGCTCCACCACATGTACCACGAGGTGCGATTGACAATAAAGAAACTCTGACTCTGACTCTGAACTACAAATTTCAAACGAGTTGAAAAGGAGGCGCCGTAGATGCATTCCCGTCTCCCTGCCGGCTGTACTCGAGTACCTGACTGAGATCCTGGAACTGGCAGGAAACGTGGCTCGTGACAGCAGAAGGACTGGGATCGTCCCTCGGCACCTACAGATGGCTGTCTGAAGTGACGAGGAGCTAAGCAGGCTCCTGGGAGGAGCGACCATCACTCAGGGAGGAGTTCTGCCTGGCATTTGGGCGATCCTGCAGCCCGGGAGAACCGAGAGACCAACTGAGTCTGGGTGGATAGATCGGATGACATCTGCAGCCATTTTCTTCAGATCCACTGTGGGACGGATCTTTACAAGAGATCTTTCCTGCCTATAGCCACCAGTATCTATAACAGCTCTTAATGAAACGAGAATAACGAGTTACAACATTTAATTTCCGTTTTGGATTAATATTTGCATTGAATTGAATTGAATTGAATGTTGGATGGAAGAGAAGCAAGTTTAGTCAATTTTATTGCAGATTAAAAGCAAGTTTTATACTTTAAATTATCCTTGTGGGACTTTGCAGGATATCAGCGAACTGGAGGTGATTGGTTCTGGAAAGCTGTTCACGTCCACCACAGTGTGTCAGAGTCCATTACTGGAGGAGGAGGAAGAAGAGAAGGAGCATGAGGAGGTTATAAAGGAGAACTTGTAAGTTTGCTGGTGAAGCTTCTCAGTCATCCAGGTCAATCCAACAAAAGTTAAAAAACAAAACAACTAGAGTTCTATTCTGAGGCTGAATATGTTTTGCTTCTCAACCAGCATCAATTAAAAAATGTCCGGAGTGTGAGGAGTTCCAAGCTTTATAGATCTGCATGAGAGGCCTCGTTATGTACTTATGGTACTTTGCTTCTGCACTCATCGGTTCCACACCATACCGTCTTCGTCCACATGCAGATCGAACTGGAACTTGTTGCCCCTCTCAATGGAGACTCGTTAGGCTCTTTGTCTGCCTGGCTCACAGAGAGATGTTTTGGTCACCTGCATGAAGGTGTGAATTAGAGTGCAGCTGGCTGGGTTCAGGCCTAATGCTGCATTGAAAGTTGAAATCTGAGACCTCCTCCTCTGTTTATATTTTTTTGTCCTTGTTTGACAAAAATGACTTCATTCACCCCCACCCCATCTCAAAGCACCAGTCTTCTCTTTCTAGTCGTCTGTCAGGGTTCAGTGCTGGGACCAATACTCTTCAGCTTGTATATGCTTCCATTAGGTAAAGTTATTAAACAGCATGGGATACATGTTCATTGTTATGCTGATGATACACAGTTATATTTGTCCATGATACCCAATGAATCCAATCAGCTACTTAGACTACAAGCATGACTTAAAGACATAAAAACCTGGATGACCCTAAATGTTCTCCTTTTGAACACAGACAAGATTGAGGTTTTAGTTTTTGAACCTGAGCATCTTAGGAATACATTTTTCAGTCTTCCATCCTCCTTGGATGACATTAATCTGGCCTCCAGCTCTAATGTTAAAAATATTCAGGTTATTTTTGTTCAGGACATGTTTTTTATCCCCCACTTTAATAACGTTACTAGAACTGCTTTCCTCCAACTGTGTAATATCACTAAAATTAGAAACATCTAATGTAAAAATGATGCAGAAAATCTGGTCCATGCATTTGTCACGTCTAGACTGAACCGTTGCAATGGTTTATTATCTGTGTGTCCAAATACTTCTTGAAAACGTCTTGAGTTGATCCAAAATGCTGCTGCCAGAGTCTTAACTGGAGTTAGTGGGAGAGATCATATCTCTCCAGTTTTAGTTTCTCTCCACTGGCTCCCTGTCAAGTCCAGAAATGAATTCAAAATCTTGAATCTACAAAGCCCTCAACAACCTAGCTCCATCTTATATTAGAGATCTTATTGTTCCATATTTTCTTAACAGAGCACTTTGCTCTCAGACTTCAGGGTTACTTGTGGTTCCTAGAGTTTCCAAAAGCAGAACGGGTGGAAGATCTTTCAGTTATCAGGCTCCTCTCTTGTGGAACCAGCCTCCAATTGGGTGTAGGTGGACTGCTGGGTCTTGTCCTGAAGAGCTGCTCTCTGGTCTTGAGCCATGCGTCTGTGGAGAGGTTGTTTAGTTTCTCCATTAAAGAGGTCTGAATGTTCCTCCTGGTTGTTGTTTTTTCAGATACTCCAACAACAAATGGGATGACGATGCTTCCCATTTGTTCTTCTCCCTGTTCTGTTCGGCAGCGTGTTTTTCTTTTTTATAAAACATAATTAGCTTCTCTTCTTATCTGACGGCATGTTTTGTCTAACCCTAACCAGGCTGATAGTTATATATCTATTTTAAAAGGTAAACAACAACATGGATTTAAATAAACAATTCAATGATATATACAACTCACAGGCTTCAAATCTACAAATGATAACTGTAAATTTAGCTTATTTTGTATAGTTCAATTCATATATATATGTGTGTTACAGAAAACTACTAAAGGGGATGTTCAAATGTTGAAGTGGGGTTGTCTCAAATTCTTCTGAATCAAAATCAGCCAGAGTGATTTCAGTTTGGAGAGTCAGGGAACAGGTTTTACAGTGGAGCTAGCAACTCTACTGGTTACTGCTTTTTGCAGCTCAAGTACAGCAAATACTTGATAAACTTTTTACACTGCAGTACTTTTCCAATTCAGTCCTGTGCTGCTATAATGTTACGTTAAATTGTATTGAATTGAGTTAGGCAGATAAATTTATGTGAAATTATCAAACAATATTTCTATTGTTTACAATGTGTGTCCTAAGTTTGGGCTAAAGATCTGAAAAATGCTGACAAAGGAAGCAGCATTCACACAAATTCAAGTTGAAATCAAACAAATGTACAAACGTGGTGCGATGTTGCTTTATTGTTATTCACAGCAACCCTCTGGCAGAGCTGGATGATGTTCAGGTGAAGACTTTGTCTGTTCCTGCTTTGAGAATTCAAGGTCAGCTTGCAAGCTGGACTGGAAACTCTACAGCTAGCAAGGTACAAAATACTTTTACACAATAAATTTGGCAGAAACTACATTTCTTTTGTTAAATTTTTTTTTAGAGAAGCTCATTTGCATTTTTGCATACATAAACACTACCTGTGTTCTCATTTAATTCAGCAAATCCACTTTGCAACTCTTTTATCACATCATACGCCTCCATAATATTTATATTTCCAATTTTACATCTTTTTATGTACAGGTAAGCTTTTAAGGAAAAAAAAAGGCTGTAAATTCATTTAATAAAACAACTTGTGCAAATGAAGACATTTCTTTGTACACCTAGTGCTGTAAAATACGAAGTTAAACACAAAAGTTAGTGTTTTTATACTAAATGAAGTGCTGCAGAGGCATGGCATGCTAAATAAAGAAAATACTTGCAGCTTTCTTTTTATCTTTTGTCTCTTTAGCAATTAGCTTTTTATTATTTAAGTCTTAAATTTTATATTGTTCATGTAGCCCAACAGTCACATAAAGTTTGGCTCTTAAAGTGCTTTTTGATGATCTGTGGTACGAAGACTTTGTATTTGATTGATGTTCTTCACCGTTAGGCAGAAGTAGGAATCAGCACCACAATATTCTTCGAGGCCCTGACTGGAGAAATGATCTCCTCTGACCTGGAGCTGCACAACGAGGGCAGCACAACCATCTTTTACAGCTGGCAGAAGCTGACTGTGCCGCAGACCTTCCAACACCAGCTCTCACAAAAACCGAGTGTGCACTTCTACTTCAATTTCTCCTCTGGTACACCCACACAAGCATTATAAACACCTGCCACTACCGCCTGTGCGTCACATGTTGTTTGCCCACGTGTCAGCCCTTCGTGTCACTCATCTAGCATTCAACTGGCCTTTTTTTCTTTTCTTGATTTTTCCCCTCTGTGATGCAGGTGTGATCCGTCCTGGTGACACCCAGCGGGTGGAGTTCAAATTTAAGTCAGAGGATCCAGGACTCAAAACCGAGCTTTGGCAACTCAACACTTACCCTGTTGTGTTGCAAGGAGCCTCTATTCAGGTCAGGTTGAGTGGAGTGGCCTTTAACCAGGTCAAAACTGCAGATCAGAGGCTTTTCATTGAGGTAGATTTAAAGTTGAGCTGCATCTTAAAGCACAAATCAACAGATGACATCGAAAGGTGCAGTCAAAGAAACCTTTTAAAAATGTGTGTGCATTGTGTTTGTGTTGTGTGGGTGTGTGTGTGTGTGTGTGTGTGTGAGCAGCACAAGTTGGAAAAGAAAATTGTGGTAAAAATGTGTCGATCAACTGTGTATGAGATGCTGCAGAGGGTCCGTTCCCCTGAAAGACCCCGCACTCCTTCAGAGCTTTACGTCACTGAAGAGCGTCTGTTCCAGATCAAAAACCCTAAGGTAAGTACCCACATGTGGCAGCACCTTTGTAGTACCTCACTACTTGGCGGTTCGTTTTTTCCAGACTCGCTCTATCGCGGTTTTTCAAAATAAGATTGGACATGACACACAATTGACTGATTGATGGATGAGCCGCACGATCAGCATTGAATTTTTATTTAAAATAAATTCTTTACAATTATTTAGCACATGCTGCACCTGTGTGCAGCCCACAGCTGCAGGAGAAGCTTCCTCCTGCAGCGTGTCATATCTCCGCTCTGCAGCAGAGAAGTGGGTGTGGCCAAAAGCGCTGGCACATGGCAGAGAGCAGAGATCATGACATTTTGTGCTCTTTTAGAGCGTTTACAGTTTAGAAACATTGTTTAGAATATTGCAAGAGTGTGGGAAGAATTTAAAATTCCTTTATATATATATATATATATATATATATATATATATATATACATATACATATATATATAGCAACTATAGTTTCATACAGAAAATCTTTTGAATAAATAAATAAGGACACCCAAGATTACTGCATTTCTGTTTTCTCAAACTGTTACATGTCAGCCTCTTCCCACAACTTGCCTACTTCATCTGCAGCACGATGTTGCCACGCAGGCTCAAAGGTGGTGAAACTAAAATTACAACTTCAGATTGTTACATGCCTCTGTTATTCTTTATAAGTGTAAGAAGCTTGTGTTTTGCATCAGGATATGTAAACTGTCACACAGATATTTAAAAATACTTGTAAAAAAGCAAAAATGGCATTATTTTGCAAACGGCCATGCTACTAAATGGAGCTGTATCCCCGTCTGATTCCATTTAGTTTGTCTATTAGCCAAGTGTAGTTGAAATTTATTAATAAAAAGGGCAAAATTTAAATTTAGAAATTCATATTTTTGGTTTGGGGCCAAAATAAAAATACCAGCAACCGATAATTAGGTTTTATCATCAAAAAATACAAATTGGCATTAAATTGTGACTAGAACCTGACTCAAAATAAGCAAAGAAGTAAACATTGCAGTTCGTCAGTTTCTGAGCTTTTTGGTTATACTAGATGTTTTGATGCTCTGGGGCTGTTCGATTACTTCTAATACTTGTTGTGCCCTGCGTTATTTGAAAAACAGCGTTCATTGAGGATCAAGGTGGCTCATTTTCATGAAGCGTAGATGTGTCATCCCCTTTTCTTTCTGAGTGTTTGGCTCAAAATGAGTCTTAGTCAGAGCACGTGATTCAAAGAGAGATGAACCAGAAACTGATCATTCTTTTTGATATTTCCAGGCTGTGTGCGTGAGAGTGAGCACTTTTTGCTTTGTCCTCCAGAACCTGACCTTTATGTTAGCCCCATTCATAAAGCACACCATAATTGTATCTTTTCCATCACTGTTTGTGATAGCTCATTATTTAAGGGGCCACTCAGGTGAACACTTACTAAAAATGTATCTTAATTCATATCCCACTTTTCAAATGTGAGTATATTTGAAAACACCATTAGGCAGTCCAATCAAACCATCAAATCAAAAGGTTTCCATTTTGTAGAACCGATTAAATATTTTAACTGTTAGCTGATATCAAGATAATGAAAGTTTTTCAGATAAACTCTCATTGTCCCAGTGGACAACAAAGCCTCTCATTTTTAAAGTAAACAAAATCTGACGTGCATCATTAGATTAGTGGAAATTATCCTGTAGTGTGACAGGTTCATAAGATTTGTAAACTTTACACATATGTGCAAAACAAATATTTTATTCACACAACGGAACTCACAACATTTGTATATTTTTAATTAAATTCTTAAGATTTTGTGTGAATGTTTCACTTAAAAGTTTTGCAGATGTAGAAATTAGCCCTGTCGCAATAAACAATAAATCAATTAATCTCATGATAAATGAAAATTATCAACCTCATTTTCATTTATCGACTTTATCGTTTCTTCTTGTCTCTCTCTTTCTCCTGAAGACACTGGATGATAAAAGGCTCAACTCTGGTGTTTTTCACTGACCCCGCCCTTTCTCTTTAAAATCTGTTTTAACCGTCCAAAATCACATTTTTGGATCGTTAAAAGCAGCTAAGCTGAGAAGCTAAGCTACGAGCTAAGCTAACAGGCCGACCTCAGGGAAAAAAAAACCTCTGTCTTGTCGAAGCTCCAAAATTCAAGGTTGAAACTTGTGCTTTCGAGTAAAAAGTTGTTTTTCTCTGCAAAAAGAAACTGAGAACTTGTTTACTGATTTTTATTTATTTATTAAAAGCTTTTTGTGAAAAATGCTATGCTAAAGAGCTCAAACCACACAGAGCGTCCGCCATTTTGAGAACCGAAAAACAGGAATGAGAGACAGCTCTTGTCACGTCTAGGGGCCTCCCTCCCATTTTCTTAAAGAGACATGCTGCTTGCTCCCTCACTATCCATCCTTCAGTTCAAACAGTCTTATACTGCCATCCGGTGATCAAAAAAGGTACTACACACATAAATTAACCAACATTTCTTCTTAAATTTGACAATAATTACTAATTATTGTCAAATTTCAAACAATATTATCGTTTATCGCAATAATTTCTGAGACAATTGCTTAGCAAAATTTGTTATCGTGACAGGCCTAGTAGAAATGTTACTTTAAGTCTCGTGTTTATTCATTTACCGTAGATAAAGCTGCTGAAAACTGTTGCCTCAGTTAAACCCTGTCTGTTATTTTTAGTTGCAGTATCTTTATGAGCCAGTAGAGGAGCTGAAGAGGATTTGGCAAAAAGTGGATCCAGGAGGCAGCTGGGATTTTTCTATTGACACTCTTCAGCAGGTAGTTGTGGGACTTTATGGGAATGGGTTTGTTCAAATAAAGAACAAGTTATTGTTTACATTTAGTTAGGTAATATACAGTATGAACACATTCTTATTATCCAGACTGATTATTAATATTCTGTTGTTTTCTTTGTGTAATTTTGCTGTAATCAAGGCTGTACTGTCGTTTGAGGAGCCCCCTTTATCCCCCCTGACCAAAGAAGACTGCCTGGCTGAGATCAACTCTCTGTTTCTGCAGCTTTCTATGCCATCAGATGTAAAACACCAACCTTCAGCTACCTTTATTGGGTGAAGCACGGACACTGTGAATTAATCATAATTGTTTTTACCTTGACTTGTATTGTGCGTTATGGTGGTGTGTGTCGCCCCCTGCAGGCAGCAGCTGTGGAGGAAACTGCTGAACACAATGTCTGGTGAGGCCATGAGGCTAAGAAATGTGTTTGGCTTTTCGGAGAAAGAAATGTGTGTTGATGGAAAGCACGAAACGATAATCCCTGATGATGGTGAGCTTCAGACATTTGTCAAACTGTGTAGCAGTAAAGAGTTACGCTCAGTGTCACTTAAACGATTTAGAACTGCATTTGGTGTTTTGGACTTTGTCCCTTGTGACTCCAGAAAGTCTTCTTGTGACACAATCACAACTGTAGCTGTCCTCATACAATGAACTCTTGATGTTTCTTCTTAAAAGTTATTATGTCAAATTGTGGAAAATAGGAAAGGTGTGATGCAGTAAAGTTTTTTTTTTAACTGTTCGGAGCATGTTTTATTCTTTAATCATGTTGTGATGCCTCATATTCTTGGAGTCTTTAAGATGAGTCTTTATATGGACAATCATTTCTTATGCTGCCTGTTTTAAATCCATAAGAACCCCATTATTAATATTACAGGTAAAAAAGGTATTGCAGTAAAACTGCAAACCACAATGACAAAAAAAAATTCCCAAATTGAGGGGGGGAAGGTGTACAACTTTTTTGTTCGTGTTTAGGAAGCTCTGCAAGCAGCAACAGAAGTGGACCTACAAACTTATCAAGACACAGATTAGAATTTCAGTTCAAATCTGTCCTAATGTGAATTCTCTAAACCTAAATAGTTACTGGTATTTTTTTATGAATAAAATAATGGTGGTGTGGTTTTTGGTTCTGTTTTAGAAGTATTGCATGTAAACGTGTTCTGCACATTTTCCGTGCTTTCTAATCCATCACTGCTTCCTGCATGTGGCTGATCGTACCCGCGAAGATGACGAGAAAAAGGGAGCGGCAGCTGCTAAAGAGGAAAAGAATGGGATGAAATCTAGATTTAAAGGTGACACCAAGTCTCCAATAACTGACAGTTCAGCGGAGGTAAGAAGAAATCGTATTTGAGCACGTAAAGAAGCAGTATGTGTGCGTTTGTTTTACTGCGTCCAGCTGATGGAGAATGTGAAGTTGTTTTTGTTGCACAGCGGCAGCGAGGTCATGTTCCTTTTGAATCGTGAGCATGAATGAATGAATGAATGAAGCATCGTGTTCAGTAAAGCACAACACACGACTCAATCTGACGCTTCATCTGATCTGAACATGAGTCACCCTCTCCTTACAGGCTGTCACTTTGTCATTCATTCATCTGCCGTTCAAGTGGACTCTGTTGTTTTGTTACAGCATTACCGCCTCCACACACTGACCACACATGCACATGCACCAGCATGCACAAAACATGCAACACGTGTAGCATTACATCTGTGTTAGTATTTCTTGTGAATCTTTGACTCTTTAAATGTTAAGCATGATCTCTATGTATTTATATTCTCCATAACCCTGTGCAGTAAAACAGACACACTGCATATTCACTCGTGTACAAATGAAAGACTTTCTGTGCATAGATTTGTCATCCTGGAAGTATTACTCTGGTAGCTTAGCAACCACGTAGACATTAAGTCTCTGAGTAACTTGTTGAGTGAGATAACCTTCAAAAAGTGTCACTATTATGGATTGTTTTCAATGCACGAGGTTGTTTTCTGCTTCCATCCACCATGCACCCATCCTCAGTGGTATTCAGATACTATATTGAAATTTATTTTTTTAAGATAAAAAGCTGAACTGCTGGTGTAGCCTTGAACCTGTCTCCCTAATCTAATTGCTCACTTGTTTGTAGTCCACCATCACAAACATGCAGCGTTAGACTGAGCACAGTTTGGTCTGCTCATATTTTTGCTGAGTGATTTTCTTCTCCGTGTCGTGGTTGAGTCACAGGTAAGGTACGGTCCATTACTCATGTGGTACCATGGAAACAGAACAGAGTGTGAAAATGTGCACCTGCTCTCCAACAGCATGCCAAGGTGTGAGATAATGTCCACTTAACCATTCCAAACCACCTGTGACAGATGCATGCAGAAACACACACACACAGTGCTGCTCAGTAAATTGTAACTGTATTTAATCCCATGTGTCCAAACTTCTGTAGGAGATCAAAAGGAAAGGCAAAAGGAAGGAGGATGCGGGGAGGCACTCCAGGGAATGGCGCAGGAAGGGGTCTGCCTCACTGGTTGAAATGAATTCAGAATCCATCAGTCCACAGTCACCTGATGACCAAAGCGTAGACCCAGAGATGATGCAAATTTACACAAAGACCCTGCACAAAAAGGCAAGTTTTGTTTTTCGCATGCAGTGAAATGCAGTGCATTGATGGGAAATCATGTTCACATCTAGTCTTAATCAGGCTGATAGTTTCCCAAAAGTTGGGAAAATACTGCAACCCTGATGATGCCATGAGCGTTATCTCCAGTTGAAAGTGTTTGACAATGGATGCTTAGGAAGCAGGAGTGAATCTAGTGAGCAATTATATGATCTGCTGCTGTGTATTTAAAAATATTGGCATTGTTGATCAGGACATGTCTTTTAACCCCGATATTAAAAACTTTTCTAGAAACGCTTTCTTCCACCTGCGTAATATCGCTAAAATTAGAAACATCTAATAATTATGCAGAAAAACTGGTTCATGCATTTGTCATGTCTAAACTGGACTATTGCAATGGTTTATTATCTGGGTGTCCAAGTACTTCTTTAAAAAGTCTTCAATTGATCCAAAATGCTGCTGCCAGAGTCTTAACTGGAGTTAGTGGGAGAGATCATCTCTCCAGTTTTAGCTTCTCTCCATTGGCTTCCTGTCAAGTCCAGAACTGAATTCAAAATCTTACTTCTAACCTACAAAGCCGTCAACAACCTAGCTCCATCTTATATTACTGATCTTAAGGTTTCATATTTTCTTAACAGAGCACTTTGCTCTCAGACTGCAGGCTTACTTGCGATTTCTAGAGTTTACAAAAGCAGAATGGGAGGAAGATCTTTCAGTTATCAGACTTAAAGTGCAAATTGATGCACTTTAAGCCTTTTCTGTTACAGACTATAAAACAATGTTAATAATCTTTGTTGTAAGTTGATCTATATTTCTTTCTTTATTTAATATTAATAAGGGTACAATGTTATGCAGAGGTGTATTTATAACAATTTTTTAGACAAATTATACTATTTACAGTCGCGGCGGAGAGTTGGGGGGCGCGAAATGTTTACTTCTTCCTATGGGGGGGCGTAACCGAAAATAATTGAGAAGCACTGATTTACAGCAACAGTCAAAGTGACTGAAAATATGTCAGATAATAAATTTACTTGCAAAAAAAACCACCTGTTTGAATGCAAAGCTCTCTTTTTATAGTGCTCCACCAACATGCTTCATTTCAGATAATATTTTTGACAGTTGTCTTACTCGATTTTATGATTTTCTTCCACGTTCATCAGCAGATTTATTCTTATATGTCTGCTCTGATGTTCTACACTTGTCCAATTCCACCATATTTGTGTACCTGCACAGACTGTGACCGTGGGCTAAGTCTACTCGAACTTCCTTATTTATTGCACAGTCAAGCGCTTTGTTTACGTTGAGTGCGTACCCGCATTTCAGAATTGCATTCATTATATCTGGAAAACTACTGGAGTAAACTGTTTGAAACTACACCATTTGATACAGTTTAGGTTTTTAAATGTTTTATTTTATTATAGTTCTTTTTAAATAAGCCATGCTGATTCTAGCTATAGATTTATGTCTGTTTTTTTCTGACAGGTTTATGGTCTGATGGAGGAGCTGGTGGACAACCTGTTTGACCTGATGGAGGAGATGAAGGTGGAAAATGGACAGAAGCCATCTGTTAACACACGACAGGCAGGCAGGGATCTGAATTTGTTGTCTAATCAATAAATTTTATTTACCGGCGTCTGAGTAATGGACCGTTTGTCCCGTCCTCTTCACGCCTCCAAACACAGCAGATGCTGTGAGGGTAAGCGCCGCTGACAAAGCATGAGACGCGCCTCCATTCCTCCTCTCTCCTCTCCCTGCATGCGTTAGCTCAGCGCGCGGCCTGCCGGGGGCTTTACGCCTCTGTGTGTGTGTGTGTGTGTGTGTGTGTGTGTGTGTGTGTGTGTGTGT